ACAGAGACACGGACAGAGAGACAGAGACATAGAGAGACAGAGACACAGACAGAGAGACAGAGACACAGATAGAAAGACACAGAGAGAGACACAGAGAGACAGAGACACAGACAGAGAGACAGAGACACGGACAGAGAGACACAGAGAGAGAGACACAGAGACACAGACAGAGAGACAGAGACACAGACAGAGAGACAGAGACACAGACAGAGAGACAGAGAGAGACACAGAGAGACAGAGACACAAACAGAGAGACAGAGACACGGACAGAGAGACAGAGACATAGAGAGACAGAGACACAGACAGAGAGACAGAAACACAGACAGGGAGACAGAAATACAGACAGACAGAGACACAGAGAGACAGAGACACAGACAGAGAGACAGAGACACAGATAGAGAGACAGAGACACAGACAGAGAGACAGAAACACAGACAGGGAGACAGAAACACAGACAGACAGAGACACAGAGAGACAGAGACACAGACAGAGAGACAGAGACACAGACAGAGAGACAGAAACACAGACAGACAGAGACACAGAGAGACAGAGACACGGACAGGGAGACAGAGACACAGAGAGAGAGAGACAGAGACAGAGACACAGACACAGACAGAGACACGGAGAGAGAGACAGGGAGAGAGAGACAGAGACACGGACAGGGAGAGAGAGACACAGAGAGAGAGACACAGAGACAAAGACACAGACAGAGAGACAGAGACACAGATAGAGACACAGAGAGAGACACAGAGAGACAGAGACACAGACAGAGAGACAGAGACACGGACAGAGAGACAGAGACATAGAGAGACAGAGACACAGACAGAGACACAGATAGAGAGACACAGAGAGAGACACAGAGAGACAGAGACACAGACAGAGAGACAGAGACACGGACAGAGAGACACAGAGAGAGACACAGAGACACAGACAGAGAGACAGAGACACAGATAGAGAGACACAGAAAGAGACACAGAGAGACAGAGACACAGACAGAGAGACAGAGACACGGACAGAGAGACAGAGACATAGAGAGACAGAGACACAGACAGAGAGACAGAGACACAGATAGAAAGACACAGAGAGAGACACAGAGAGACAGAGACACAGACAGAGAGACAGAGACACGGACAGAGAGACACAGAGAGAGAGACACAGAGACACAGACAGAGAGACAGAGACACAGACAGAGAGACAGAGACACAGATAGAGAGACAGAGAGAGACACAGAGAGACAGAGACACAGACAGAGAGACAGAGACACGGACAGAGAGACAGAGACATAGAGAGACAGAGACACAGACAGAGAGACAGAAACACAGACAGGGAGACAGAAACACAGACAGACAGAGACACAGAGAGACAGAGACACAGACAGAGAGACAGAGACACAGATAGAGAGACAGAGACACAGACAGAGAGACAGAAACACAGACAGGGAGACAGAAACACAGACAGACAGAGACACAGAGAGACAGAGACACAGACAGAGAGACAGAGACACAGACAGAGAGACAGAAACACAGACAGACAGAGACACAGAGAGACAGAGACACAGACCGGGAGACAGAGACACAGACAGGGAGACAGAAACATAGACAGACAGAGACATAGAGAGAAAGAGACACAGACAGAGAGACAGAGACACAGACAGAGAGACAGAGACACAGACAGAGACATAGAGAGACAGAGACACAGACAGAGAGACAGGGACACAGACAGAGAGACAGAGACACAGACAGAGACACAGAGAGACAGAGACACAGACAGGGAGACAGAAACACAGACAGACAGAGACATAGAGAGACAGAGACACAGACAGAGAGACAGAGACACAGACAGAGAGACAGAGACACAGACAGAGACACAGAGAGACAGAGACACAGACATAGACACAGAGAGACAGAGACACAGACAGAGAGACAGAGATGAAGAGAGAGACAGAGCCAGAGAGAGAGACAGAGACACAGCCAGAGACACAAAGACAGAGACACAGATAGAGAGACACAGAGAGAGAGACAGACAGAGAAAGAGAGACGGAGAGTGAGCGTGTGGGTGAGTGGGTGAGTGAGTGAGCGTGTGGGTGAGTGGGTGGGTGAGCGTGTGGGTGAGCGGGTGAGTGAGCGGGTGAGCGTGTGGGTGAGCGTGTGGGTGAGTGAGTGAGCGAGTGGTTGAGTAGGTGAGTGAGCGTGTGGGTGAGTGGGTGGGTGAGTGGGTGAGCGTGCGGGTGAGCGTGCGGGTGAGCGAGTGGGTGAGCGTGCGGGTGAGCGTGCGGGTGAGCGTGTGGGGTGAGCGTGTGGGGTGAGCGTGTGGGGTGAGCGTGTGGGTGAGCGTGTGGGTGAGCGTGTGGGGTGAGCGTGTGGGTGAGCGTGTGGGTGAGCGTGTGGGGTGAGCGTGTGGGTGAGCGTGTGGGTGAGCGTGCGGGTGAGCGTGTGGGTGAGCGAGTGGGTGAGCGTGTGGGGTGAGCGTGCGGGTGAGCGTGTGGGTGAGCGTGTGGGTGAGCGTGTGGGTGAGCGTGCGGGTGAGCGTGTGGGTGAGTGGGTGAGCGTGTGGTGAGCGTGTGGGTGAGTGTGTGGGTGAGCGTGTGGGTGAGTGGGTGAGCGTGTGGGTGAGCGTGTGGGTGAGTGTGTGGGTGAGCGTGTGGGTGAGCGTGTGAGCGTGTGGGTGAGCGTGTGGGTGAGCGTGTGGGTGAGCGTGTGGGTGAGCGTGTGGGTGGAGTGGGGTGAGCGTGTGGGTGAGCGTGTGGGTGAGCGTGTGGGTGAGCGTGTGAGCGTGTGGGTGAGCGTGTGGGTGAGCGTGTGGGTGAGCGTGTGGGTGAGCGTGTGGGTGAGCGTGTGAGCGTGTGGGTGAGCGTGTGGGTGAGCGTGTGGGTGAGCGTGTGGGGTGAGCGTGTGGGGTGAGCGTGTGGGTGAGCGTGTGGGTGAGCGTGTGGGGTGAGCGTGTGGGTGAGCGTGTGGGTGAGCGTGTGGGTGAGCGTGTGGGTGAGCGTGTGGGTGAGCGTGTGAGCGTGTGGGTGAGCGTGTGGGTGAGCGTGTGGGGTGAGCGTGTGGGTGAGCGTGTGGGTGAGCGTGTGAGCGTGTGGGTGAGCGTGTGGGTGAGCGTGTGGGGTGAGCGTGTGGGTGAGCGTGTGGGTGAGCGTGTCCTCCGCCCACCCCACCTCCGTCACGTCGGTTTTGTTGAGCTCCTTGAGGCTGCCGAGCGCCGCCTCCAGCGCTGGCAGGGCCTGCGCGAGGTCCCGCTCCGCATCGTCGGCCATCTCCTGCGCCAGAGCCGCGCTGGCGCTCGCCTTGTGCTGCTCCTCACTCACGGAGCGGCGAGACTCCTCGGCTAGCGCCACCTCCGCCTGGACCACACACACACAGACAGACACACTGAAACACACACACACACACAGACACACACAGACACACACACTGAAACACACAGAGATACACACACACACAGACACACACACAGACACACGCACACACACACACACGCACACACACACTGAAACACACAGAGATACACACACAGATACACACACACGCACACAGAGACACACAGACACACACAGACACACACACACACAGACACACATACAGAAACACAGACACACACACACACTGACACACACACACACACAGATACACACAGACACACACACACAGACACACACACAAACAGACGACACACACACAGACACACACACACACAGACACACACAGACACACACACACACAGACACACAGACACACACAGAGATACACACACAGAAACACACACAGACACACACACCCACACACACACAGACACCCACACACACACAGACACACACACACACACAGCTCAGCTCTGGGCTCCCACGTAGCCGAGTAATGATTTCCCTCCAGGTGTCACCCCGTGTGTGCCTCTGTCTCGCGAGGTGGCCGAGCAGGCCAATCCGTGACCTGCACAAACGTGGCCACAGCCAGGGGGCGTACCCAGGAATGAGCCACCCCGTAGCTCCGTCTCTGGTGCATGCTGCTCCGCGGCATGCTCCTCTCGACTCCCAGCGCGAGGCCCTCAACGTGCCGAGCTGGCTGACCCGTCGGTGGCCCGCCACCTCAGGCTCCGCCTGAGGTGCATTCCAAGCCCGCCGAGGGAATGCTCCGGGGTTCAACGCGATCCATCGGGAGATTTGCCCGTCCCTGTCCCCCCCCCCCCCGGCAAGGGTGACCTTCCACCATCCGAGTTGGTGCCTCACGACGATGGCTCACGATGATGGGTTGGATCGCTCCGGCACACCGGGCATCAGTCCGCCTCTTGTCCCGGGTGACGTTTCAGCATTTATTTTAATTTCCCCTCCCCCCCCCCCTCCCCGATCGCAGCATTTGCACGCTGGCCACCAGGCGTGGCCGCCTTGCCGCTAATGCCGTGGTCTTCGGGGAGGCCGTTCTTAAGCTCGCCCGGGCGGCGGCGAACTGGCTCGGGCCAATCTCCGTGTTGGATCTCGCAATCAGCTAAGGCCTCCGCTCGAGAGGCGGCCGCCCGTCCGCTACGGTGACGGTGGAAAACGCTTCTTTCTCGCAATTGCACTGCTGGTCGCGACCGCAGGGGGACGGGGTGGGGGGGGGGAAGGCGTCCGTCGGCAAAAAAAACGACCCTTTCGCTTTGCTGGGCCTGGAGCGCGTCGAGACACACACACACACACACACCATCCAGCCGGTAAGCGCCTGCGAACGTGCTGGCGAAGGTACCGGAGGGTCGGCGGCTCCTGGGCAGCCGCGGACCTGGGCACCGTCAACGTAATGGGATTGGTCGACGGCACGTGATCCACGTCTCCCGCTCGGCTCCGAAACGCTTCACGCTCCCGTCTGTCCGACGCGCGATGTCCGAGCCCCTGGGGGAGTCCGTCTCCGTCTCCGTCCGTCCGTGCGTCCGTCTCTCTCTCTCTCTCAGCCGCACGGCGAAGCAATTCCCCGCCGGCAAGGGCCCATCTCGGGAGGATCTCCGCACGGTGCGTCGGGGATTCTCAGAATCGGAGGCGCTTACACCAGTGGAAACCTCGCTTGCCAGTTGACAAAATGTGATCACTGGTTTTATCTGGGCTTGGCTGTGTTCGCTCCAGCGCTGTCCTACCAGACAGTCTCGTCCCTTCACCTGATGAAGGCCGCTTTGTGTCGCGGCCGAAACGTCGCGGGAATTTCATCGCGTTATTTTAGTTGATCAATTTCTTATTTTATTCTCATTCTACGTGGGGGTGGTGACTTTACCGAAAGAACCAAAGAAGATTATTGGGGTTTTTTTTACCCTTTTATCTGGCAACAAAACTGGCAGCTTTGTTTTTTTTACACACGAGGAGCCATGTTTACATTGACCACGATACCTGCGGTCGGAACGCAAACACAAAAACCAACAATTCTGATAATGTATGTGGCGCTGTCCCTGAAATTGATTGGTCCACACCCGAGACGGCTTTCTTTAGAGGCCTCGTCTCACGTTGGTGTTGGACCAGAAGACGCCAAAAGGCGTCGCACAACTCAAAGGCGATGCACCATCAGAGTATGAGAGCTCGGGGTCAAGCATTTACACAACATTGGAAACCTCGTTTGCCAGTAAACAAAATATGATAATTGGTTTTTTACCCTTTTATCTGGCGACAAAACTGGCACCTTTTTTTACACGAGGAGCCATGTTTACATTGACCACGATACCTGCGGTCGGAACGCGAACAAAAACCAACAACTCTGATAATATATGTGGCGCTGTCCATGAAATTGATTGGTCCACACCCGAGACGGCTTTCTTTAGAGGCCCTTAAGTCTCACGTTGGTGTTGGACCAGAAGACGCCAAAAGGCGTCGCACAACTCAAAGACGATGCACCATCCTTGTAAAAAAGTTGTGCGACGCCTTTTGGCGTCTTCTGGTCCAACACCAACGTGAGACTAAGGGCCTCTAAAGAAAGCCGTCTCGGGTGTGGACCAATCAATTTCAGGGACAGCGCCACATACATTATCAGAGTTGATTTAAAGCTTTCGTGACTGCAGTAATTCGTATTCTTAGCTCTTTCGGTAAAGTCACCACGTTGAAGGGAAATAATAAAATATATATAAAACGTTTTGACCGTTTGCGTTACGGTCGAAACGTCGCGAGAATTTTTGTTATTGTTTTATATATATTTTATTACTTTATTGTTTCCCTTCAACGTGGTGACTTTACCGAAAGAGCTAAGAATATTATCAGAGTTGTTGTTGTTGTTTTTTCCTTTGCGTATCCGACCGCAGGTATCGTGGTCAACGTGAACATGGCTCCTCGTGTGTAAAAACGAAAAAAAAAAAGCCGTCAGTTTTGTTTTGCCATCACAATCGGAAGCTCGAGTCGGATCGAAGAAGGGCAGCGCCCATTGGCCGTCGCCGCTCCCGGCCCTTCCCAAGGATCCACGCCCTTCGGTGCTATTCGGCAGAGTCGCGTGGGTACAAAAAAAAAACAACAACGAGGCGACGAACAAAAAATATCACGGAGAAGGGAAACAAGGCGCCTTGACAAAAGGAATTAGCATAAAACAAATTGAGCGTTTGATTGGCCGACTTAGCGTAGAGGCGGTGTACGTGCGTGTAAACATGCCGGTTGACGCGGGGGGAGGCGGAGGGGGAGTCTACCTATTGGTGGTGTGAAAAAGGGAATTTTATAAGAGCCGCGAAAATGTTTGGGGTTACCGCTACTTGTGAAAACAAAATATATGCTGTAGCATTGAAAAATTTAGTTGAACGTTTGGTTCCGATTCAGAACATCTTTCCAATGGTTGCTTAATTTGAAACCGTCCCCCTCGGTTGGAATTGTTGCCTCTGCTTTGTAGATCTTGTTTCCTCGCGCACGGCCTAAGGGGTCCGCGGTCCGAGCGTGGCTCTGCGTTTCAACTCCAGCAGCTGTCCTCGAGACGGCGCTGGCCCCTTCACCTGACGAGGGCCGCTTGTGTCGTGGCCGAAACGTCGCGATTTCCCGCGTTGTTTAACTTTTTTCTTTTTTTGACCTACTACGTGACTTTACCCAATAGAACCAAAGGAGTACCTCTCTTGCAGCTGACGGGCTGAGAAGCTCGTCTTTGAGGTTTTCCCCCCTACCTGCCGGGTCGAAAAGCCGCTCTGCCCATTATCACGATTCCCGCCACGGTCCGGCTTGTCGCCTTTTTCCCCGGTGACAACGACGACGACGGCGACGATGGCGTCTCCCCCCAGTTCCGCGGGGAAGGTCCTCGTCGTTCCAGATGCTGGCCACGAGCGAGCTGAAGGTGTCCCCCCCCCCCCCCCCCCCCCTCCAGCAGATGCCAATCTCGGCAGGCACCCCTGCTTTAGAGTACCAGCCTCTCTTTCCATTCTCCATCTGCCCCAGCGCCGTTGGTTCTCGGGCCAAGCGCTCAAGCGCTGGAGTGTTTCACGGAAGCTCGCGCTCAGTGTAGAAGCGCCTGCACAACAGCGTCGCACTCCAAGAGGCTGCTGCGGTGTGCTGTAGCGTGGAGGGGGGGTACGGCAGACTGGCGCGCTGTAGCGTGTGTGTACTATAGTGTGTGCGTGCGTGTGTGCGCGTGGGGGAACGGTGGTGTAGCGGTTAGCGCGCCACTCTGCGCTACGAACCCGGCGACCCCGGGTTCCGATTCCCGCTCACGGCCAACACCACCAGGTGACGATCGTCTGAACCGGTCCCGGGCCTCCTCCCCTAGGTCGACTCGGCCTCAAATGAGCACCTGGTGCGGTGTGTATTAAACATCGCCACTGGGGAGACAAAGGCGGCCGGGCGTGGTTGCTGGCCACCCACCCCCTCTCGCGCGTCCGTCCCGGCCTCCATAGGCGCTGCTCGCTAGCGGCGCTTGCCCCTGCAGCCTGTTGAGGCCACACGGGGGGATCTTTGTCTTTGTATCTTTGCGTGCCGTGGCGGTGGAGGCGGTGGAGGCGGTGGAGGCGGTGGAGGCGGTGGAGGCGGTGGTGGCGGTGGAGGCGGTGGTGGCATGAGTGGCCGCGGGGGTGCGCGTAGATCAGTGCGCGTGTAACAACTCAGAGCGACGATGTCATAATCAGCGCCACTTGACCCAACGTCCCCCCCCCCCCCCCCCCCCGCCCACCCGCCCCGTTTCTCGAGCCTCCTCGTTCCAGAACGGGGGGCTGCTTCGACACTTCAACGCAGCAATTCTCGACGAGCCAACTCCTTCGTCGAGACGCCCTGCCCCCCCCCCCCCCCGCCCCCGCCGAGCTGAAAAAGAGGCGGCGAATCTTAGCGGCGTTCGCTGGCGGGGGCGCCGACAGTTCTGTTCCTTCGCCTGCAGAGGGCCGCGACTTTTAGCCGTTTCATTTTTGCTACCCACGTGGCTTTAGCGAGTAGAACCCAAG